GTGGCACTCTTCTCCCGTTTCTTAGGAACTTCATGCTTGAATGGGCAATTCTCCTTGCTACAACCCCCTTTGTTCCACTGAACACAAAACCCTCTGGGGATGAATGGTGTGCGCGCATCGGCCGCAGGGGCGGACGTCTTGGCACCTCCAACACTAGCGGCAATCCGTCCCCGATTGTCCTCTAGCCTTTCCCTCATGAGATGTCTGCGAACAGCGTCATACAGGAATTGATAACAATGCTTTGAACTTCCCTCTTCGGCCCGGTGGTACTCCTCGATGTCATGGGCGATTGCCCTGTGATTCTTCACTTGTTGGTAGAATAGAGTTTCCAGGACTGTGGTTTCAGGCAAATGAGTGACACCGGTGGTGACCGAATCCCAGTTCGTCAAGAAGGTCTTGAGATTGTCGCCCTTCATTCTCACATTGAACAGATCACTTAGGGAATAGGTGGCTCCATGTTTGATATTTGTGCTGAAGTATTCATGCATCATGAGTAACACCTGTCTCCCCCGTACTGGACGATCTTTCTGGGACTCCTTCTCCTTGAACGTGTCAACCTTGCGTGCGAATTCACCTGTGGCGATGGACGACAGTGCGGCGAGAAGCTTGGCATCAAGGGTAGTGAACCCGTCGGGACTTGCCAGACCTTCTATAGTTTGACCTTCAATCCAAACCTTGTTGATCCATGAGAACGCTTTGTCAGGCTTGGAAGATGCGGCCCTCACCGCGTCCCTCACCCTGATTTTCCAGTTGCGATAGTTCTCAGGTTGTGGAAAAGAAGGTATCTTGATGTGGTCAGCTTCCTTCGTGGTACTACTCTTTCCCCCCAATACCTGTTTGAGCTTCCTCATAAGAGCCTTGTCTGTCAATTCATCGTCATCGTCGTCAAACTCATCTCCTCCGTCTGGGTCGCTGTCATCCCCCGGAGGTCCAGGTGGTCCACCTCCCGACTTAGGAATCTTGAGAAGCGGAATGCCTGGACGCCCAGGATTAATCGGGTCACCTGATGAACGACCTCCACCAGGGTTGTCTCCTCCCCCTCCTGGCGGTCCACCACCACCATTACCTGGCCCGCCCCTTCCGAAGTTGCCCGACAATGCATGTGCTGCTAATGACCCGTACCCATCATTCCAAGGACTCGCCGGTTGGAAAACTGCAGCGTTAGGGGAAAACACGCTTCCGGGTTGAGACTTAAGGGATGGAGTACCGAACAATTCAGCAGTTCTTAGTGATCTAACATCATCGTGCTGGGACAAACCTGCAGGTAGTGCCTCATGCATTGGTATGGACTCACGAAGTTCGGCAGCTCCTTCCGAAACGCCCGGCGTATCATCCTTCCGTTGCTTCATTTCGCGAAGCTCCTTCAGGAGTTGTGCCTGGATTGATTCCGTCTCAGTTAGCCGCCTTTGCAAATCCATAGACGCCTGTTGTTGCTGTGCCAAGTTCATCTCAAGGGATGAGACCTTCTGATTCTGAATCATTTCGATTCCAGCGATATGCTGACGGTGATTCATGGACATTTCCATGAACTGAGTCTGAGCCTGCTCTTGTAGTGTTTGATATCCAGCTTCGGCTGCGGTGATGAATAACTTCGCCTGGACCCTCATCTCCTCATTTTCAGAGAACGCTTCATCAGCCTCGTTTCGGAGTCTCTGTGCTGCGAGCATTAGTTCTGCTCGTTCCCCCTCAAGTTGCTGATTTTGCGTGGCCTGGCGCATCATCTCCGCGAGTACAGCTGGAGGCGTGCTCACAAAGGAAAAATTGGCCTGATTGAACACCGGCGCGGTGTTCCCACCCGCTCCCCCTCCGTCAGTTGACATGTTGGATCCTCCGTCTGGTGTGAACGAGACGCCCGGATCCATCAACGGTAGATGGACAGCGGCGGGGTTTCCACCCGCGCTCTCACGCCCATCCGCACCATTGTACGGCGCAGCCAGCCTCGCGAGGGCTCCTGAATCCAGAGATAAGTCCATGGCTGCGAATGACGCGGGAGCAATGCTACGGGCCTAAGGCTATACGGCTGATAACCTATGTTTACAGGAAACCAGCCAATATCGCCCACCTTTTCACTTGAGCCAAAGATCGATGGTCGAGAGATATATAGTACACAGTATACGTGGAACACTTAGTAAAAACAGAGACACTCTTATGTGGGTTTTGAGGGTCCAAGTGCCTTCTGAGAAGGTACGACTGGATCCCTAGGGTGAATTGAGTGAACATGGAACATGGGCAGTCTGCAGATGCCCTGCTCACATTCGATTGCACCAGCACCAAGAAGGAGAGAGGAGGCAGGAGGCAGCTCCAAAGGCAACACAAAAAAGGAAGTGGTGCACGGTCGGTGCGCGTTTCCGTGCCCAAGCGGTCGGAGGCAAAGTCGGACGAAGAAAGCACACTATGTCTTTCTGAAGTTTTGATTTCTCCAAAACCTGAGAAACAAAGCATTACGCAATCCAAGACTTTCTGAAGTTTTGATTTCTCCAAATCCTGTTGCCCAGCAGTTTCCATGTCGGAATGTTCCAGGTCATCCCATCAAGTTGAGGGAGTGGATTCTTGGCGACCCGAACGAAGCGGCATCCAACGATCCATTTTTGATCCATGGAAGTCATGAAATTTCTGGGTTTTGCACTCATGCTTCCAAGGCTTCCCTGTATCTCCTACAGGTTCAGAACCTGACCCAGTCAAACTGAGGCCTGAACACTGAGCCCTGAACACCAATTCCAGTAAAATGAGGTCTTGGACCTTCTGAGAAGGCACTTGGATCCCTGCTGAATGAGGTCCATTCTTGACAGCTCTAGGCTCCCTCTGCGTCACCCCCCGACGCAAACGGATTGGGCCATTCAAACCCGGCCTCGAAGTGGATGAGAAGGGGCAGTCTGACCCAAAGGCGGCCCCCCAAACCAATGATGTCCTTCTCGGAATCATGTATATAGCACATACTATAATGCTACATGCGTACTTAGTACTATACAAGTAGCTTCTTGCTACTAATCGTAGTGCCCTTGCTACTACCTTGTAGTAGCGATGCCCTTGTTACTGGTAGTTTCTTACTTATATACCGGATATATTGGTTGCTCATTTAGGGGTGTCCCATCTCTATTAACCCTCCAATAGTATCAATAGTCATTACCCCATCTCTGCCAGATCCGAACCCAGTCGTGTCCCACCATGGCCAAATTCGACCGTCGGTGGTAGACAGAGACAGCTGCAAGCTGCTGGGAGTCTTTCCGGATTTTACGATCTAAACCCTACCCCTAGTCCTCCAAGTAACTGCTGAGAAGGTGTTTGGGTGGGTTTGGAGGGGTTAACCACCTTCCGAGGATATGGTATATAAAGCCTATACAGGTCCCAAAAACAGTAAAACCTTGTCTTTTACATTCTTTTACATCCTTTAAGTATTATTTAGTGTTTTGGTATAACCACCTCGAGCAAAATGATGGACCATGTAGTGTTTGCCCAGACGCTCCAAACAGCACTTGGTACCTCAAAACCCTAGGGATTTGAGACCCCAGACCCCTCCATATGAGGGTCCGACCCCTCCATATGAGGGCCCATGAGCGTCTGGGTGAGGTGTTTTTGGACGGACAACGGCCTGCAGCCGCAGTGGGCTTCACTCGTTCACTCCCCTCGGCGACACCACGCCCGCCCGCGGCCTGCGCACGGACTTTCTGGGCGATGTTTTGGAAGCCCTCCGCGAGTCCCTCGGGCTCGATCGGCTTGGCGAGGTTGAGGAACTCCAGGTCACGTCCGGTGACCTTACCTGAGAGCCGGTGGAGGTTTAGAGCCCAGACAGCCGGTGGAGGTTTAGAGCCCAGACGCTCCGTTCACAACCCTTGGTCCTTCAAAAGCTCGGGATTTGAGACCCCAAACCCCTCCATATGAGGGTCCGACCCCTCCATATTACATGAGGGCAAATGAGCGTTTGGGAGAGTGGTCACCCCAAACGGTCGAGCAAAGGAAGCGAATCCCGCCTGTCCCGCGACCCGAGGTCGGACTGGTCAGGCGTTTGCTGGGGCCCATCGCACCATTCCCGCTTGGAGGGACCGGGAAAGGGGTGTGTGCTCGGAGCGTCTGGCTTTGGGGAAAGACACACCATAAAGCTCCAGCTGGTGCTTGGTGGAGCTCAGCCGTTGTTCGAGGCCTGAACTCAATGGATGATCTGCTGGTGGCCCAAAATTCCCAACTTCAATCCCGAAAAAGGGCTCCAACTCCCTTCTCAGGCGGTGTTTAAGGTGTGGAGAGCCGAAGTACCTTCTGAAGTCCGACTGGAGGTCTGATTATAGGGAAGCAACATGCGCTTAGAAGAGACTAAGAGGCGATATAAATCCTGAGAGCCTCAATTTGTCCAATCCAACTTCAATAAGGATCCGGTCGTCCGGACCCGAACCTTGGGGGATAAGGGGTTCTTCAGCCCTGCCGTTCACAAGGGCGGTTGGGCCCCGAACCAAACCACCCAAAGCCAAACCCTTGGTGTTGTTTCGGGTGCGGATCCTGATCGGGTTCAAGAATTGAGGCCTCGTCCGAGAGTCGGTCCATCCGTGTCGTCCCGTTCCCACCAAAGGGGTGCGGCGATCGCCGCCCCGTTCGAACGATGTGCTGCGATTCTTCGACACGCAGACACGGCCCGACCTCGCCTTCCAAAACCCATACCTGGGCCTTCAAATCCTCAGAAATGGGGCATGGCCCTTAAAAAACAGGTACTTGTACCAATTTTCCGAGGTACGAACGGGTCGGCTCCAGGTAGTTGTGTTGTGGTTGGGGATTCCCAACCCTGAAATCGGTGGTTTGTTTGCCCAGGGACTGTAGATCGCTCCAATCCAGGCCAAGAGGAAGAAGAAGGACAGCAGCACGAGCAAGAAGATCCCCAGGGCCACGGAAAGGTGTTTGACGGAGTCATCGCATTGGATCTCGTTGCATCCCATGGAGACGGCCAGGAGGCACAGCAAGACCTTCACTCCCAAACACGTTCCGATCCGCCCCCGGTCTCGCGAGACTGGACCAGTCTGGACCCATCCTGAGGTCAGGGCTCCTGGCCGCCCCCTCCTGAGGAGAAGGTGGGCCAGGGGTGGGTGCCACGGGGGTCTAACCACCGGACCTGAGGATATGGGGCGTTCGGAGCCCTAGGGTGAGGTCAGGGGTCTATAGGGGTCGAATGCGGACTGGTCAGGGGCTGTCAGAATCCAACAGGAAAGGCTGGCTGTCAGCCCTGGAGAGTGCTGCCCAGGGTCTGGGGTTTCTTGAGATGTTATGAGGGACCTGGTTTTCAGGGTCGTCATCGGACCCACCGGGAGTCAACCGTCAACCTACCTGGAGTCAATACGGACACGGATACCTCGGAAAAAACCAGTGCCAGGGGCCCTGAGTTCACCATCAAAAACCTGGTGTGGTCGGTGAAAACCTTTCTTTATGGTCGTTCCAACAGAGGTGGAACGTGACCTGAACGTTCGGACCCGTCACCTGGGGTACCTATAGTCGAACGTTCGGGTTCTGACCCACCTCTGCTGCTTCGGGCCGGTCCCTCGCGTTGCACGGACAACTGCGGATCCCTCGGTACGGTTGAAGGAGACCGATGACTTGGAGGGCAGACCTTCAGGTCCTTCCCGTTTGGGCTCCGAGTTCGGAGTCAAATGACCGGTCACCTCCTGGCACTGACCCCTAAGCACCGAACCTCGCGGCCGAGCGGAGCCCCCAAACATGGCGGGCTTTCCTTTCGGTGGTTCGGTGGCTCCGTGGATCGCCGAGCGCGAGGTCCACGCCCTTCGCGACGCGAGTTCGCCGAACTCACGGAAGCGTTCACCACATCCGAAGGGCTGCCACCGAGATGGTGTCGGCCATATTGAGCCACGGGGTTTGCCACGGCTGCACGGTCGCCTGCACGCCTGACGAAGGACGGGCGAAGGAAGGGTGGGGATTGATCCCCCAGCTGTTCGTGGATTCATTGAGGTGCCTTAAAAACCAAGAGAGGTTAATTAAGTGACCTGAACTAGGATCGAGTAGCTACTTGGGGTACCTATATATGGGATAGCCTATGGGCCTATATAGGGTTCTTCAACCTCTGTTGGAAGTTGGTCCAACAACCTGTCCACCACCCAAACCAAGACCCAAAGAAAATTCAGTTGGTCCAGTTCCGAAAAGCATCCCAGCAAAAGAATGCAAAACACACCTAACAGTGTGAACACCGCAAGAACCCCTTGAGTGTGACCACACCTGCAACAGGGCAAGGTCGACCGATGCCTGAGATCTTCCACCGGAATCTCTACCTTTTTGGTCTCTGAAACCCGCCCAAAAGGCATCACTTTCGCAACTTTGTATATAAACCCTGCCCTTGTTATAGAGGGTCCGACCCCTTGCCATGGAGGGCCCGGACTCGGATCCTTAGGGTAAGAATCCGGGCCCGAAACCAACACATAGGCTTTCGAGGGCAGGGCACAAACAGGAAGTGCTAGGTATACGGCATCCGGCGCTTTTTTTCGACGGTCGGACTCTTCGAATGGAACCTTCGGAAGAGCCCGGCTGCATTTGTGCATGTAGAGTCATGACAACCTGGGATCAAACACTGCCCCTCCGCAAGGATAAGGACAGCTGACCTTTTTCAATGCCTTTTTGAACTTGAAAAGAAGGTACCAGTCGGGAAACCAATCAAAAAGAAACGGTTATCCACGGACTGGGACATGGTCGTGGGATGACTTCATCCCATTATGTGTTCGTGGAAACTCGCGTGGATTTCGGCGTGGGTCACCTCACCTCACCCACCGAAAACGTCTCACCCTCGGGCCATGCTTGGCCATCCACGCACCGTGCAAAACAATAACTCCATCTCTTGGGTTTGCGATTGGGAACCGGGAAGAGATCAAATGTTATATTGCTAGCTGGTTTGGGGATCGAACCAGTTCGGGAAAATACATCAATCACGTTCCTAAGAATCATTGGACCCTCCTATGGAGATCCTATGGAGGGTTTGGACCCGACCACAGGTTCCGCAGGGGGCCCGACAGGACCCGAACCAAACCTTCACCGAACAGGTCGGGTCATTTGATTCTTAGGGCGGGTTCTTCACTTCATCGATTGGATGCCGCGACCGTGGGTCCCAGGGCTGACCAACCACCTGAGTTTCGCAAAAAACCCACCGAACTCCTTCCCCCGCCCAAGGAGCATAAGGAGAACACCAGCACCATGAGCATCATCGAGAGCTGCATGATCGCCGAATCGGGCGCGATGATGGTTGGCAAGGACCTGCAGCACGGGATGTTTTTTTGAATCCAAGGCTGACAAGCAACGTCCCCCATAGGATAGTAGCTTCTTGTTCCCAGTAGCGATGCCAGGAGCTGCTAGTTGCTTCTTGTTCCTAGCGGTAATGCCAGGAGCTGCTAGTAGCTTCTTGTTCCTAGCGGTAATGCCAGGAGCTGCTAGTTGCGTCTTGTTCCTAGTAGTAATAATGCCAGGAGCTACTAGTAGCTTCTTG